CCTTTCCAGATATACAGGCCTAGAAAGGTGAAGTCACCAGGTGAGTGAGACGACTCAACCCCCCAAAAGTCAGAGTGGGTGTCTCTCCACGATATGACTTTGGTGTCCTTCCACAGCCTGCACAGCATGTTAGAAGGAAGAGCTTCCAAAGGACTTTTTTTTGGGAGAGGGCAGTTTTCTGGTTTTCGTAGGCATGAAAAAGATGCTCACAATATGGTTCGTGTACATTGCTATTCAGACTTTACTCCCTCAAAATGGCTTCCAAAAGTGACGCTGAGGAAAGAAACACTAGGTCATCGCAATTTTTGCCCTGCTAGGCACATGGTACACATGCAAGATAAAGCAGACATGGTCCCTGCCCTCCAGGAGTTTACAGAATCCTGTGGAAATCAGCATGCAACAAACACATAAAAATGATGGCAAATTTAAAAGGTGCTAAAGCCCTGCAAAGGAGAGCTTCCCAGGAAGGATGCGTAAGACCTCGAGGGATGTGCTGAACACTCAGAATAAACACTTAGGCATCGTAGCAAATTAAAAAGTGATGTGTATTTCTGCTTGCATAAGGCCTAAATTGCCAATTTCGTAATAAACAAAATAATTTTGTGCCGTTTTCGCTTACATCCTATTTTGACTTTAGATAAGAAAAACTAAAAGAAGCCAAAAGTTTTAGAATTCAGTTGTTTGTAATACCTATTGAATAAAAAGTAAAATAATAAGACAAAGAAATCAATGCTAAAATGTGAAATTCATTTTGGAATCAACTACATGCTTAATTTCGATGAACCAAAAAGGAGCAACCTATGGGCAAACTAAGTCACATATAAAGAAAATCCGTTTCCTCTCTGGTCTCCAAGTTTATGGAAATTAACAACAATCTCCTAGATCAGGTCTAATTCCTATATTCCATTAGTCATTTTAAGATCTAAACATCAAATAACTGTAACAGCAAAGTTACAGTTACTTGCTGAGGTTACTTTGATTACTTGCTGAGGAAGAAAAAGAATTTGGATGAGGCTAAAGGCTTGGACTTCACTAGAGAAAACAAGATATGGGCTGGGACACTCAGTTGTGGAATTCTACATAAAGATTTCAAGATTTTCACTATATCACTAATTTTCACCACCTTTTAAATGAAGTTCATATGCAATGTATTGCCATGCCTTGGATAATCAAATTAATGCAAAGAGCCTAAAAGCATTTTCAAGGTCAGTAGTAATGCCATATGTTGAACACAAGTCATTAATCAGAGTATATTTCTATAGAACATTCTAGGAAATGATAAAACCTAGCTGCACATTAGAATAACCTGGGGAGTTGTCAGAAAAGCACAGGCCCAGCTCACAAGATTCTAATTTGATTGGTCTCAGATAGGCAGCTTTCTCTCTCTCTCTCTCTTTCTCTCTCTCTCTCTCTCACACACACACACACACACACACACACACACACACACACACACAAATACTAATAATGAAACCATGGCTTTAGACATGGGCTATACCCCAGAAAGAAAATACAAACAATTCCTGATAATAAACACTAAACTTCCATTTGAGGGGAGAACTAATAACAATTACTTGTTTTGATGTCATCACCTCGTTAAAAAAAATAGATTTCAGCAAAATTTAAAAGTTTGCAAGTCGCCAAACATTCTATTCAAAACAGCAAAAGGAGCCAAAGAAGCCAAAAACAAATGACATTTTTTCCCTTCTGGCATTTGCAATGATGCCCATTAGGTATTAGTTATTGTCTATTATAGTATTAAGGTTGGACTATCTTGCAAAAAACTTTATTCCCACTCATTTTCATTTCTGTCAGATTTTCCATTATAAATTTTATTTTCTCTGCCAGCTAAAAGGAATATGAGGTTACAATTTGGCAAGAACATGTTAAGCTGGGTGTGATTTCTGCACCCCATTTTGATGTAAATTAGCTTTGTCATATTTAGTAAGAACTCAAAAAAGTTCATTTGGTTACTTTTGCTTATCTATTGGTTCATTTTCTACACAATTTTAAAAGTCTCAAAAAGTCACCATGTTTATTTCTGATAATTTCACGTGGAAATGCATTAATGAAATAATATTATCCCATTACTATTTTTAATGAAAACAACTTAATTACTAGTAAAGAACCTGCCGGCTTTCGTTCTTCTGCTAAAATATATCCATTTTAAAAAGTGCCATATGTCCATTAGTATTAATGTTAAATCCTTAAGATAAATCTAAAATATGTATCTATTTTTTAACTTGATATATTTCTGAAACAATACACATCTCGCAATAATAATGTATTCCTCCAGGACAGCCCTTTACTACCTGTTGCTTACCACCACTCTGTCTCTACACCAAACAAAAGGCTATTGGGACTGGAAGAAGCGTGTTTCCATATAGCACTGCTCACCCCTTTAAGTCCATAGGATACATTGTTATAACACGATAAAGCAGCTTTTGGAGCTCCTTAGGGCACACCATCTAAAGGTTTTCTATTCCGTATCTCAATCATGTAGTAAACAGAAGAAAACAAAAGCCTCCCCTCCACGAGTCACTCACCTTGTCACACAGTGGGGAATCATTTCAGCTGTGATCTGCTATTTAGACTTGAAGCCCAAGATACTGAGATTTTGCCTTTCTCTTTGGTTTGCATAGCTGGTGTTGTAGACAGGGATTCAAACAACAATACAGCACAAGATAAACTAATTCACTGGAAGACACACTATGGTCTGTTCTATCCTCAAATTTCACAGAAAGCAGAAATTCATACTCTGTACATTTTTCATCTTCAGTCCCTATTTCCCTCTGTCAGCAAATTTCCAAAATTTCACTTTTATTTATCTCTAAGTAATCACACTGTTTATGGAGATTGCTGCGACCATGCTAAGCCCAGAGATAGGAGACTCTTACAAGACTCACAACCACGAAGCACAAATTAAGAATGAAGGAATCTCCACACTCCACGGCTACATTATGAAGGCTTTTAAGAAAAGCATATGCAGTCATAGTGCTATATACAAAAGAATTTTCCTGGACATTAATGCCTCAAAACGAACCTCCCAAGGCCCAAAAATCCAGCCATCACATGCCAATCCATCCACCTCTCTTCCACCCTCTGCCCCTTTCCACTTCTCACCTTGTTTGGAAAAAAAAAAAAAAAAAAATTAACTTCAGTTTCACCCGAGGGAAGTATTCCCCACAAATGGAGAAAGGAGGGTCTGTGTTCTGCACATACACAGACAGACTCACACGGTCTGGATGATGCTTTCACAAGTTAAGGGGCCTCACGCTTACTCAGCAGAGGAAATCTTTGTGTCTGTGAGGAATCACGCCAATTCCTATTAGTAAGAAAGGATACAGGGGCGAGGAAGCCTATTCTCTCAATGACCAGAAAAAGGGGCCCAGCGAAAACAGAGACCTCTGCCATGACCATCTGCAGAAAGGAAGGATGTTGTCAACTTTCTTCTCCCCAAAACTCTAATGACCTCCGCCTTGACCCTCAGAAACCAGACCCACAGGAACACGCTCTTCTGCAGGAACTGAGAGCTTTACACCAGAGACACAGCACTCAGAGGCTTGTCGCCCAGGCTATCTAGCCCGAACATTTGCACTCACATTCCAAAGATGTTTCCGTTGCGCTGGAATGGCTGTAAATTTCTTTCCTGCAGAATTCTTTCCAAACAAACTGCCATGAACTGCACTCCGGCAGGAGCTCTTAACCAAGCACTATTCACCTCAATGCAACAAATCTTTCAGATGCTGAATATGACTGAATTGGTGGCTGGGCCAAGGGAGTAAACTTTAAAAATGCAAATATATACAGGGAAAAAACAAACACACCAACCCACCAGAAGTCGTACCTTCCTATGTCTGATACGTAAAGGAAACTTTCCTCATAGGCTCGATTTAATTACGAAAACAAAACTTTGCTTACATTTTTCAGGGGTATATTAAATGGGCTGTTTAAAAAAAAAATCAAAATAGATTCTTCCCCCATCAAGAACATGAGAGGGTGAGAGAGTTCAAGAGAGTAAGCATCCCCTTTCCAGCATAAAAAAAAAAAAAAAAAAAAGTACATTTTGTTTGGGTAAATAATAAAAACAGTAGAGCGCTCTGAATATTGAAGAGAATTATTAAATTCCATCAAGAGTTTTCCAAAGAAACTAATGCACTAATAAAAAGGAAGTATAAATTTTTTAAAAAGATTTTAAACACATGATTAATACTGATATTGAACTGAAAAAGAAAGCATCTATAAAAACTCAATTGTCTTGAAACAAAGCTTACACTTTTAGCCAGATAGTATTTTTAGAAACAGCCTCTCTCTGGAGAGTTTAAAGTATACAAATGCAGAGTGCCCAGAGACACAAACACACACATGCTATACCTTTGTATTACACTGGCATTTTATTATTTAATTAAAGTACTCTTATTTTTCTAGCTCACGCATGCTTCCCTTGAGACGGCTTTGCTGTTAGCCTGCTGGCCTTGACTTCCAGCCAAAAACAATTCAGAAACAAAAAGGGACAACAAATCATATTTTCACAGACATTTTTATCCCTCAATACAACCCTGTTTTCACACAACATCATACAGCCCCTATGAAAACTATAATTTAGGGCAATAGCCACCCGAAACCCAGGGTCTGACACATGACTCCGTGAAGTATTTCCTGCGTAAGAAATTCTTAAGTTCTTAATTGCAAACAAACTCTTTTGATAGAACCACTTTCACCGACATTGCTGGTTTGCAAACAGTGCCACTGCTACCGGCTGATGGATTAAAAAATAAAAACAAGCCCATGAACGTAGTTCTGATACAGCAGCGATCTAAAGATGAGGTGTTTATTAGTTCTAAGCTCTGTGTTATTTCATTACTTAAAGAGAGAGCCATCATCTGACTTGCCAGTGCATCTTTGGTGTCACAGTTTAAAATGCATCATCTAATTTAGCAAACAAACTGATTTACCAGGTTAATCCTCTCAACCCTTCCACAACGGAGATTCTCACTTACCTGGTGGCAACCCTGTAAGTTTGATTCTCTCCCATAAGATGAGTATGAGCCCCTTTCTGTTTTACCTGCCAAGAGAAACGACAAAAAAGTGTAAATTGTGTTTTTCCTTAAAAAAAAAATCTCCTCCAGGTAACAGACATCTACTGCTCTTCCCCGATGTTTACATACGTAAAGTAGGCACTACTGGCAATGTATGCAAGCAAGAGAGGGAATAACACTTCCTCACTCTGGCTATGATAAACTGGAAAAAAATATCCTTCATTCCTATTCTTAGCCAAACTGCTCCACACTTCCAAAAACTGTCATTCCAATGGCCTCCACTTTCTCTAACAAACAAATCGTAACTCCTTATTTTCACTTTCTCTTGCACAAAATTTAAACAATTTCATTTTTATTTACACAGCAGGCAAATTATCTATGTAATGACCCTAGCCTAGTAATTCCCATTGATTATATTGACACTTAATGGTGAGGCCAAAACTAATCAATCAAAGGCTCTCCAGATGGTGAATTTAGCAAAGAAACTATTCAAAATTCTGAGTCTCTCTCTCTCTCGTTTTCAAAAACTCCCTTTCCCAGGAGTGAGTCCCATCATGATCAAGATGATGATGGAATTTACATTTGGGAAACAGGGCTTTTGAAAAATTGCCTACTCTGAACCCAAGTTCAGATTCCACCAATAGACCCAGCAGCACAAGGGATCGTGGAATGTGAATGTCTAGTTCCAATTCTAACAGCCCGATTTTTATCTGTAGACTACTCTACAGAGATCTATGGACCCTTCGATGCCATTTGGCCACATCTAAGAATAAAATCAAGGGTGTTCATTTGTTTCTTTTTAAAGTTTAACCCCAATAATCATTAGGGAAGATAATGAAATCACATTACAAGAGATCTAAGCAGCAGAGTCCAGACAGCGACATGTGGAGAATAATTGTAGAAATCTGTCCATACCAGAACATTAAAAGGAGCTAAAAGAGGCAGATAGGAGCAGGTGCCTAAGACCCCACCCCATTCAAGTTTAAAGGATACTTCTTTCATCAAGACTGGAGCTTTACAGTAACCGTATGTGATACATAGGACTACACTATTCTTTTATCCAATGGGAAAACTCTAAACTTGTTTTTTGAGAGGCTGAAGAGATTTCCTTCTGAAGTTTACAACCCCCAAGTTTTCCCCTCTCAACTCAACAGGAATGCTAAAAGTAACAGTAGCCTTTTTATCTTTTAGGTCAATGGCAATAGCAATGTTATTAGAGTATGCCTTCCTGACACCACACAAAGAATGTATCTTTGATACATTTATATCCATAAATTTTCTATCTGGTCAAAAGGGTACCCTGTATCCAAGTCATTATATATAGAAAATGGATAGCAGTTTTCAAAGAAAGCCAAACCTAAGTCTTAAAATTAACCCCCTGTTTCCCAGTATTAACTTTTCTACTGATTTTAATGAATCTTAAAGTTGGAAAAACACCTCCGCCCCATTTCTGGTCTAGCGTTCAGCGCAAAGTATAAAATCAATGCCCATATCAGTTTCAATTTCAGTGAAACAAGACACCATCGCACAGATTGTCAGTCGTAGAAGATGAAACAGAATAACTTCCATTGTATGAGGATTTTACATTGAAGAAAAGATACATTTATACTTGTATCAGCAGTGGGAATGGTCACAAAGACATATTTACTCATCTGTGTACGTCAAATTTAAGCTACTTACACCCTTTAACTTCTCTCTCTAAATGTTACTAACAGAGAAGGCTCGACCTTCATGAGCTATCAAAGGACGTGTGTCCTTCCTTAAGCTTTTGCATCTAAGAATGCTTCAATACCACCATTACATCACTTACTTTGACGTAATATTCGCTTGTTTAACAGGTAGATACGCAGGCAGGAAGCTGGGCAGGTAAGAAGGCAGGCAGAAAGAAAGATAGATAAAGTAGAATCTGCTCTGACTTCCTAAGAAACTGAACATCTAGTGTCCTGTTTTGGTCATTTCTAAAAATCTAAATTGTAAAATACAGTTTAAGGAAGAAAAAAACATCTATTTTTTTTTTCTCTAGAAGGAATTCCTGAAGCTATCCCCTGTAGAATTTCACTACTCAGCATTATTTCCCAACTCGACTCCAACACACAGAACTGGAGGGAAGAATTTTTCTGCCAGGATTTGCCTCACTTATAGATATAAGTTGGGCTACTCCTTCCATTATTTTAAAGATAAAAGGGCAGGATTTTAAAAGGAGAGAGAGAATAAGTAGGAGAAAAAGAGAGGAAGAGTGGAATGCAAAGAGCAAGGGGTAGGAAAAGAAAGAGGGAGGAGGGAAAGAGGAGGAGAAGAATATGGATTCACGCTACAGAGTCCCCAAAGTACTCTTGGCTACATGGAACCCAGCATTCTTTACTATCATATCAGATACAGACTGCTTAATCTTAATTTTGCTTGTTAAAAAATATTTATCCAGATACAAAAATAAACCCACTGCAAATTACAAGTTGTCAGGGTTAAAAATCTACTCCTGTTTGTGTGGGGGAGGATAAGAGACCAGCATAGACATGAATCATTCTCAGTAATTTGAGTGTTTCCATGACATCAATGGGCACCCGTCCAGGGCTCTGTCGAAGTCTGCGAGGTACCAAAGAGGCAGCACAGCCAGCAGGAGGCTGGGAGGTGGACTTTTTTTTTTTTTTTTTTTTTTTAAGGATTATACTCCTTGTAAAGATTTCATCTGTAGCATCCACTTTTACCATCAAATAGATCGGTCCAGAGATCATGAGCGAACACATTTCATTCTGATAGTGTAAGCCTTTAACTTTATTACATCTTTTTGTTCCCAAATTCAACTATAAATCTGCCCTCAGAGCCAAAACCCCTGTTTTGGAGCAAAATAATCAGGCACTGTGGATAAAGCCCAAGCACCTTCTCAAACATAAAATCGCGATTCCTATCATTTTTTTTAAGATAAAAAGCAGCCATTTTAAAAGGGCACCTCGGTTTCTAGAAAAGAAACTATCTTTTGTGTAAATTATCCATTAAAAATTAGCTGTGGTCTTGATGTTGATTTTCTGCTTAAAATTCACTTGGAACATTTGTTTCAGATAACAAAATTTTCAAGAGCGCTGATAACACGTTTGAGTAGGATCCTTAAGTAACTATCTGTGCTCATGAACACAAAAGCTCCTAAATATCTGTGTTTACTCTATGTCAGGCATGGATTTTTGTCACTTATACCAACTGGCTGGCGCGGACAGCCTCTTTCCTCCTTTCTCCATTCTTCACCACCTGCCTCCCCCCATCCCCACAACCACAACGGGGCTTTGAAAGAGCTGAAGATTCTGTTTTTCCAATATTTAAAAGAGATAGCAGTGATGAACAAACCCGGCGCGTTCACTGCGGAATTTTCGAGACAACCCTCCGGTACTAGAATGCGACAGCCGCTGCGGATATTTTTTGGCACAAAGACAATGGTGGCAGTGCCAAGCCCCATGGCTAAAACTACTCAAAAGAGGCATAAGGGTAGCATTAATCGCTCAAGTCTTTTACTGCGTGGAGTACTGTTATCCATATTTTTAAAACTAAAAGTACCCGTTAGTAACATTTGTTGTATGCCCATAAAGATGGGGTTGGCGGGGGTGGGGGGGGGAGGGGGAAGATTCTTAAATATATACCAGAAACAAATCTTGTCAGGCATTTGATTCATTTTTATACCTAAAAGGACCAAATGTTAAATTTTGCTGCTGGTGACGATTTGCCGTGCATGAAATGAATATGACCTAATGGAGTACACGAAGGGCTGAATGAAAGCTATACAGAGGATTTCATAAACTAAGTCGACATATTGGCTAAACAACTTTCTTCTGTAAAAATGATGTATACAAGGGAACATGTAATACTATGTCACAATTTTTAAAATTAAACAAGGAAAACGCTGTAAATGAGCAGACACAACATCCGTCAATCAATCCTTCTGGAGACAAAGGAGATCAACATGCAGCCCCGTCTACAGAACAAGTCGGCTTCTCCAGTGAGCAAACAGTTCAGGAAGTCAACATGTGTTCTGTCCAAATCGAACCCGTCGGCTGCTAAAGCCTATATTTAAATTTGATTATTAAAAATGGCACCAAATGACAATCAATAAAGGATTCACTTGCTTCCCCTGCCCGGGAAAAACTAATATGAGCAGGAAAGGCAAGCAACTTCCAATCTTTTTTTTTTTTTTTTTAAGTCAGTGTTTTGCTGATCTATTCAACAATCTTTTTATCTTGCTGTCCCAAGAAGGAGCAGGAAAATTTGCTTTTTATTTGAGGGTGATATGGTTAACAAATGTCTACAGATTTTCAAATTGAATATTTTTATATTCTTGTATTATCAGCCATTTGACTTCCAATTTTTTTTCCAATATATCCATGGTATCCTATTGTAAGGGGATGGGGTGACAATGAAAACATTACATGAAGGGAAAAAAATGATCTCATAAATCCATTCCACTCATAGGGATACTTCTAAGAAGGATCACCTTTGGTAGATTACCGCCCCTGGATACACATGACACTTCCTAAGCCACCTAGAAAGAGCTAGAGACAGACTAGCAACTTATCAATACAATGATTTCTAGAGATAAGCTCTAACAGAGACGATCCCTCTTATGGTTGACCAGTAGGAGAATAACAGGGTCATGTTTGGTTGTGTATCCTTTTCATTTGTAAAATGCCACTTTTAAAATTATACGTAAATGACAGGTGTTTCACCCACTACTGAAATAGATGCATCTATATGGGAGAACATATCATCCCATGAAAAGCCTTGATGAAAAATTATCTGATGCTGCACGACAATACCAGGCAAGGCTGTTTCACTGTTAATCCTCATTCTGGGAACTGAAGAATGAGCCTTTTGTTCCCTGGCATCGGACTAGGGAACTCATCATAAACATGTTTGACTCAGAATAAATTTCTGTCCCCATCCTCAGACTCTCCCATCTCTGATTACCCGATGAATTTCTTTATATATATGTAGAAAGGACTAGTTCATTAAACAATGACTGAAATTTTTAGTAGTTCTGAACATA